TTTCCTTTTTGCTTATGTGGTGCTGAGGAATTGAACCCAGGGCCTCAGGCATGCAAGGCAAGCGCTCTACCACTGAGCCACCTTCCCAGCCCTCAGATTTTTTTTGCCCCCTACTGGCTAGAGAACAAGGCGCACTTTGGTTGATGGCAGTGACATCTTCCCATGAAGATCAACTAGACTGACAGAGGGCTGGGAGAAGCCTCGGTGCAGCGCCTGGCATGCCATAGCATTTCCTAAGTGGTGGTGTTTATGCATTGTAGGATCCACTATCAGAAAACGTTAAAATATGATTGCTAATCCTCGGGCCATTAAGCCCTACTTTCAAGGAAATTTTGGGCACTAATGTAAAAAAACCATCATTCTGTAAGCATAAATTTAACAAGTATAATCTAGTTTTAATCAGTGCCATTGCTAAGTGAAAGAGCAGGGATTTCATAATTTATGATTTTCGTAATGGTGGGAATTTTTGAATAAAGACTAATTTCACCTTGAACATACTGTTTGCAGGGCCGGCACATGGTGAAAGATGATTGGACAATGTGTCCGCACTGTGAGTTCCCCGCGCTCTACTCGGAACTGAAGATGTGAGTGCCCATCGTTTCCCTCACACACCTTCCTCCAGAAGTGGGCCTTCCACTCCACCCTTCCTACATCGTGCTCCCCAAAGCCTACCTTTGTCTAAGGCTCTGGGATGAGATCTTCCCATGCTTAAGTTGCATGGTAAACATGCACTGAGGTATAGACAAGCCAGGCACCAGTGGCTCACACCTGTAATCCTAGCTACTCAGGAGGCTGACATCTGAGGATTGCAGTTCAAAGCCAGCCTAGGCAGTTAAAACCTGAGAGACTTTTACCTCCAATTAACCATCAAAAAGCCAGAAGTGGAAGTGTGGTTCGAATGATAGAGCAATAAAGCCAGGGTTTGAGGCCCTGAGTTCAAGCTCTCCCCACTCCCCTTAAGGAAAAAAAAAAAGGTGTAAACACATTTGATTTTCACATTAGAATAACCCAAAAGGTAAAGGAAATGTGTTTAATTTCCTCTGAATTTTCCTTCCCCAAACAGCATGTTAAACACTGAAAGCACATGTCCTATGTGTTCAGAGAGATTAAATGCTGGCCAACTGAAAAAAGTTTCCGACTATACACAATACCTGCGAGCAGACATGGAACAGTGAGCTGCAGGCGGAGGTAAGTGCTCCTGCCAGCCAGGAAGCCGGAGCCCTGCGGAAAGAGCAGAGAATGCCTGACTCAGCGTCGTTAAAATGCAAGTGTTTCTCTCTCTCTCACACACACACACACACGTTTCCAAGTCTTTTCTCCCTCTGTAGTTGTCAGAATAGAATGGTAACTGCTCTCCCCTTACCCTCTGGCCTCCATCAGTCTACCTCTAGTGCCTCTACTTCCCTCCTGAAACCTTCCAGTGTTTTAATAGCATCACAAGGTTCTCAGGGATGCATTAGCCCCCTCCCGTCTCACCGGATTCCTCCTCCGTGTCGCAGCACTACTAGTGTTTGCTGCTCTTCAACTCTACAATTTTCCACAGGCTCTGCCATCTTACAGTCACAACAGCAAGTATGAGGGGTTCCAGTTTGTCCACATTCTCGCCAAAACCCGCCACTGCCTGTTGCCAGCACAGTGAACGCTGGCTGCAGTAACTGTTGTGGCTCCTTTCAGACAAGGAAACCTTGCTGTGAGCTGTCAGGGGAAGCATGCTCTCTGCGCTTTGCTAAGCATGTACTTGCATTTTCTATTCTGCACTGTTGAGACTTCATCAGAAACAATAGTGATTGTAGACTATATTCTACCTAACTTTATTATTAAAAGGCATGTTTGTCCTTTCTAGATAAAATGTTCCTGATAAATGGCATTTTTCCCCAGGAGGCTGTTTCCCCCCCGGGTGGACTTGGAATGACCACTTCTGGATAGACAAAAAGCAGCAAAGATGGTCTCTCCAGGTAGAGCGGCCAAATAGTGACATATAAACCCTGTTGTTTATTGTACTTTGTATAGTTTCCTCCTCAAAGTCATAATGTTTTATGCTTTGCACTGTTCATAGTAGATAACAGAATTGTAAATATTCAGCCTTTTGATGACTTTTATATTTTGAATTATCTCCTCTAAAATTGTTAACTAGACATTTGTAACCTTTTCCTGGATTTGGAGCTAGAGATAAAGGAAAACAACTTTGAAAACACACTGTGAAGTCTGCCAGTAGAGATTAATACTGTAAACAACTTCACATAGGAAGTTTAGAAACTGGGTGCTGGTGGCTCCATGCCTACAATCCTAGCTACTCAGGAGGCTGAGATCTGAGGATTGCGGTTCAAAGCCAACCTGGGCAGAAAAGTCCATGAGCCTTTTTATCTCCAATTAACCACCAGAAAACCAGAAATGATGCTATGGCTCAAAGTGGTAGAGCACTAGCATTGAGCAAAAGAGCTCAAGGGACCATAGCACCCCAGGCCCTGAGTTCAAGCCATACAAGTGGGGGGAAAAAAAGTCTATATAGCTGTTGCTTGTGACTCATGCCTATAATTTTAGCTACTCAGGAACTGCAATCTGAGGATCATGGTTTGAAGCCAGACGAAGCAGGAAAGTCTGTGAGATGTATCTCCAATTAACCACCAAATTAATTCACCAGCCTTAAGGGAAAAAGTTAAAGGATAGTGCCCAGGTCCTAGGACTAATGCCCGAGTACTGGCACAAAAATAAGCAAAATAAATAAAGCACCAAACAACAGTAAAATCAGTCTTAAATTAAAAGAGTAAACAATAATCTATGTCTGATCATCCCGAACATGTGGAACTCCTTTCAGTCAGATGACCTTTGAAAACACTATCTGGAATCTTCCTAAGGAAGATTCCAGCTCCTTTTCGCATATCATACTCCAAGGAAATCCATTACTTTTCCTCCAACTTCATGTCCAGTGTCTCCAAAGTCTGAGCAGCTGACAGAAATGAGTCTTAGAGCAAACTCTGAGTTGGATATGACTTTCCATATGGCCTCCAGCAACTCAAGCATTACAACAATCATATGAGCCGAGGCAGGGCTGAAAGTAGCAGTGTTCTAGGACAGCCAAGCAACTCACCTGAAAGTCCTCCAGCTTCATGATCTGCCCTTCCTTCCCAAGGATGGTCAAGGCCGTGGGTCCCCTGCTTCTTCCTATAGCCTGATTAGAAGGATGCTAGAAGGTCATAGAGTACGAGCCACAGCAACTTGGGCTCTGTGAGGCTGAGCACTTGTTTTGTGATTTACAGACATAATGGTACCAGAAGATATTAGAAGATATATATCTTCATATAATAATCTGTTCTGCATTTAGAACTTCAAGACATTAAATGATGCCATAGGACTTCCAAAATGAAAAACAAGGATAAGGTTGAACAGTTATCAAAATGGCCTTGGTTCAGTGGATCTTTGAGCAAGTATGCAGGTTTGTGTTGCCAAGATGTGCACCAGTGGATCCCTAAAAGCCACTTCATTAATACATACACCTCTTAGATTTATATAGTCAGACTTCCACAGAACCAAGCCTACCCCACCATTATTTCCAGGCACCTCATGCTCGAAAGCCTCAAAGAAGCAGACAGGCCTATAGTATCACCCTTCTGTAGCAAAGAGCATATTTACAAATTCTAATTCTTTTTTGTCCCCTCCCCCAAATTCTAATTCTTAAAAGAAATGTTAACTGCTATATACTGTCCCAATCAGGTTGACAGCTTTCATAATTAAAAGCAACAACAGCGAATAAGTGAAGGATACCATCTGTTGCTCTGGCAGGTAGATGACAGGCCCTCATCTGGGATGTACAGAGCAACCATGACTTGGAAGTAAGAGAAGTGGAACTGTAGCTCAAGTGGTAGAGCACTAGCCTTGAGCACAGTGAGGCTCAGAGACAGTGCTCAGGCTCTGAGTTCAAGCCCCACAACCAGCAAAAACAAAGAACAAACCCACAACTCAGAAGAGAAATGAAGAAATAGTTAGGAAACCATTCTCCCCCTCCTGGTGAGGAAATCTTCGCTAATGCAGCATAGTTTCCAGCCAGGCTTTACCAAGGAGGAACAAGAAGGGCAGGGCTCGGTAGGCTCAGGCTCAAGACAGTATTTTATTTCCATAATGAATCCATGAAAGACACTGGCAAATACTGAATGTCTCAACAACTTTACACTGTCTCCCAAAAGAGTATCAGTTCTTAAAAACAGGGAACACCATTTATTTTACATTCCTCTTAGCCCATGCCTCATGGAGGCAGCCCAGACCTCAGAGCATTTACTGTCAAAATTAAAAACTAAGCTAGATCCACAACCTCCAGGCACGCAAGCTGAAGTTCCAGTAGGGTTTGAGGACTCCATCAGAAGACAACGGAATCTTCCAGGGACAAAGTAAACCAAAGCCATGTTCATTTGATCCCAGCCACAGTGATCCTTACAGTCTGACCCAGCCTAGAGCCTGGGTTGAAACTGAAGGATGGCAGCAATGCCCAGCAATCGCACTGAGTTCCCACACCCTCCATCTACCCAGATGTGCCCCATCATGCGGTCACCACTGAGGCCTGGGAATTCCAGCTCTGAAACTTCAACTGCTGAAGGTTTGTTCTGTTTCTCTGGTTAATTAGGAACAAAGTGAGTTTTTTAATCCAATCATTTGCGAATTAATAGAGTAATATAGCAACATCATATTTTGCTGTACAAGATGACAATCTTGAAAAAAGTTTGTACATGAATCATGTGGAACATTTTTTATTGCTAATGTATACTTCATAAGATATTTGACAATATACAAAAAGACTACCCAGTTCTAGGTGGTGATTGCTTTGTAGTCAGATGATTTATTCACAAAATTTCACCACATAATATGAACTACCTTTAAGGAAAAAATAACATTGGTCCGATTCTATAAAGGTCATTAGGATAAACTGAACCCTATAAAAGGTATCTTATTAGGCCCATTGCTCCCAGTTATTATTAACTACAATCTGACTCCAAAGCCCACAAAGTAATGTTTAGTCCTAATTCTGCATAGTCATTTTGAAGCAAAACAATCTAATTAGATGGGCAGAGACAGTGGAGGACCCAAGCAGTCCTATGAACCTCTACAAGAGGTGTATGTGAGCCAATGGCCACACCCTCCAGCTGGACCATACTTCATAAGGAGCCACCGGTGACCCACTGCGCCACACACAGATCCTCTACAAGAAAACAAGGCTGTCTCCACAACAGCAGGGCTGGTCAGGAGTCGTCATCACAGTGGCTGCTGGTAGCTGAAACTGGTTTCATTTCTTCAAACTTTTCCCTTTTCCTTTTTTTGATTCCTTATCTTTTTCTGGTTTTGAGGACTTTGAAGATTTTGTCTTTTTCTGTTAGAGGGAAAAGATGCACACAATAGTTAACTATGTTTATGAACAAATGAAGTTTTCTCTACAATAAGCTTCATGCTTACCTGCAGTTTTCCTGTGAGAGGCCGATTTACAAGTTCAAGGCCAGTATGTAGTATATAGTGAGTTAAGGCCAGCAGGTACTATATAAATTGTGTATGTGGATGAGAACGTACACGCCAATGGCCAAAGAAAAATGTTCTGTTTTGTTTTTTGTAGGTTGTGGCGCTTGAACTCAGGACATGGGCGCTGTCCCTGAGCTCTTCAGCTCAAGGCTAGTGCTCTACCGCTTGAGCCACAGTGCCACTTCTGGTTTTGTTTTTTTTTCTATAGCCCATATAAACCATCAGAATGATGGCCCACTCTCTTGCTATTTGACTCTTCTACTTAGAAGAAACTATAAAAATGAAATCTCCCTCTACCACCCTTAGTCATGATGAACAAAAATTGAAGTATGTTCAGCTTACTTTGCACCTTGCTGAATAGGTCCTACTGTTCACCTGGCACATTACATAGGGGGAAAAAAACCATCTATAATGGAGTGTATTCGGTAGGTGAGGAGCCTACCTTGATCATAGCATCGTTCTCTAGACCATCCTGGTCTTTCTCATCAGACTGAGAGTCATCTTCCTGTAACTCTTCATTGTCTTCAGGATCCAGAACTGGGCCTATGCTGGATCTAGATGCCCTTACCACCTGAAGCGCATATGGAGTGAGGTGGGCCTCCTTATTGTAAGCTCTTGTGAAGGCTGCTTTCACCTAAAGGAGCAAAAGGAGGCTGTTAAAAAACCTAAAGGCTAAACGATCCTTTTAAACCCTTAGCTTTCAGAGCCCCTTGAAGCTATGAAGAAAATGTTTATGCTCATACATATAAGTGGAAGTACATGCGTTTTTCTACAAAGACATTCTCTATTTTCCTGGCCCATGACTCAAGATTAAGAACCAGTATCTGGGAACTTTAGGCAAAAACAAACCACAAGTCATCTTAAGTCATATTTTTACATATTCTGCACTCTCCCCACTTCTACAAAGTAATAAGCAAAACTAGCCTGTGAATAAATTGAAAAGGTGTCCTCTAAAATTATCACACAGGCACAGGATTGAGTGTTGCATATTACATCCATGTTATATCACTCTAGTTTTTTAGTGCACATTACACAAAAACAGGACGTGTTTTTATACAGCAGATTATGGAATAGAAAAATTATGAAAGTCCTCAAACAATAAACACCTTTCACTTTTATAATCTATACTTCACCATTCCCTCACACTTACTGGGAGATGCATTCCTCTAGTTTTAGAAGGAATGCGTTTTTATTTGCTTCTCAGATGTGAAGCCAAGATAAAAATGCTACTTGGGAAACTGAGACCAGGAAGATCATGATTTAAGGCCACCTCAAGCAGAAAAGTTTGAGACCATTCCTCAACTACCTGTCATCTTACCTACACAAGAGGCTGAGACTAAGTGGATAGCAATTGTAAGCCAGCTTGGGCAGAGAAACCCTCAAGACTTCATCTCAATGGAAGAAAGTAGGTGTGGAGTACTCCTATCATCCCAGCCATGGCAAGAAGCCATTAAAATAGGCAGATCAGCCGGGCGCTGGTGGCTCACGCCTGTAATCCTAGCTACTCAGGAGGCTGAGATCTGAGGATCGCGGTTCAAAGCCAGCCAGGGCAGGAAAGACCATGAGACTCCTATCTCCAATAAACCACTAGAAAACCGGAAGTGGCGCTGTAGCTCAAGTGGTAGAGCGCTCGCCTTGAGCTGAAGAGCTGAGGGACAGTGCCCAGGCCCAGAGTTCAAGCCCCACGACCGACAAAA